AAGCACTTTCCGTTAGGATTTGACAGAAATAAAGTTCACCATTACTTTAAGCACGTTTGAAACTATAGATCGGGATAATAAAAGAGAGTAGGGAAATTTCGTTTTAGTGGCACTTAAACACTTACATAATGTTATTTATATATTTTTATTTTACTTCGGTGCGCTATGAAACGTTCATCGAAAGAAAATAAAATGGCTTCAGATTTACTTACTCTTTCAGAACTAAAAGATTCGGAGAGTTTTAAAAGAACATTAGAACCGAAAGGAAACTCTAATTAATAGTAATATTTTTTCCCATTCGACAGTGCTAGTGTTTCACTGAGAACTAGTACATCCATGACCAGAGTGGGCTAGTTACCATATGTCACCCTCGCGATTATCGAATCCAACTTTGTTGAATGAGATGTACAACGAACCGTTTTCGGAAAGGACAAACGTGAGAATGTTTGTTTGAATCAGCTACGACAGAGTAAATCATTTAATGTTACGGGAAATAAAACAAGAAAACCGTAAAAAAAAACTCTGTACGAAGCTCTGACAAAGCTAATACTCGAAAAGCTAATACATGCTTTGGCGGTTGATCAAGTTTTTACTTGTCCGTCGACACAGACCAATAGTTTCTTTAGAAAGTAATAACTTAATTCTATTCAGATTTAGCTTTTTTCAGTCTTCTGAGACCGAAAAAGGCTTTTGAGGCCCACACCTTGTAACTCTTAGAGTACAGTATTAAAGCTATCCGTCAAAACCAAATTTAATTCACAACTTTTAGGTACTAGAAAAGGGCCGAAACAATTTGAGTGTCTCATTTACGAAATGCTGATAATCAAAGAATACTAAGCATCCTCGAACGTGCAAGAAGACTCCTCGCTAAGTTATTTCTACTGAACATACAAAAATGTTAATTACGTTTTTCACTCATTTATATCTATGCGTCACCTCGATATTTTCACTTTTACGAAATATGGAAACGTCCGAAATTGCACGAGTCGTGTACAGATTGAAGAATTTTCAAATAGCACGAATTGTGTCATTGTCGTGCAGTTTTGGTCTGAAGTCTTACGCGTAATTTCACTATCGAACGAGCGCGCAGTGCGAGTTCAATTACCATCATTAATCATAACAGTTACAATCTCCTCAAATGTGATTGGTACATAAACTGCTGTATTTCGCTCTTATTAATCTGCAAAGTTGTAATCGGACAGTGTAATCGGAGAGTTGGCTGTAATCGGACACCTGTAATCCGACAGTTACATGAGCCCGTCATTTTACGTCCTCTCCACTAAGTACACCAATCACAACATTGATTACAATCACTATAGCAACTAATTCAAGAGACTGGCTTTGTAAAATTGTGGAGGTTTAGTCTCCGGTGACCATATTGAAAGAAACTTAACAGCCATTTTGCAAGCTTTTCTCCATATTTTTAATTATGATTTTAAAAAATGACTATTAAAAGCTCTCTTCGAATGAAACTTTTACTTTTGTGGGAAATTGTAATGGTTATGATTAATTGGTAACAGGACGTCGTGTCGTCCAATTGAGTCTGTAATGATACTCCTGATGAACAAATCAGACTCTCGCTGTGCGGTCGTCTGATTTTGTTATCACTCGTATGATTACAGACCGAACTGGACTCCACTCAGTCCTGTTACCATTATTAATTGCTGGAGTTTTCATGCGATTACTCATTTATTACATGACAGACAAAATTACCGACGCGCGTGCGTTTATTTGCAAATTAACAATTGACGATAAATTGGCCGCTCCCAGCCAATCACAATGAAGTAATTTTTCTCAGTCATATAAGATCGGAAAGCGTGTTATCCGAGTGAAACAGAAAGCAGAATGTATTTTCCTCGTTTTAGAGTCAACTATTGTACTGTGTATAGATCGTTTTCACGTGACGTCATCATTTTCTAAAATCGAAAACTAAAGAGCCACCAAAGTTTTTACCCCATCAGGCATAAGAGCGGGAAAATTTATATCTATCTACAATTTTACAGCTCAGTAGTGTGCTTCGTCTGGAAACCAGCGTATTTTGAATTTCAGAGTTCAGGTGGTGCCCGAAACAAAGCTACGATCGCATTTGTCGAAAAATATGTCTATTTCATGATTTTTAGCTTCTTTAGAAGTTAGAGCATTAGGAAAAGTGCTTATGTAAATGCTTATTTGTTCAGTATAGATAATTAGTCGCCTAGATAAACAGAGTAAGTTCCAGGTGTTAACACTATTTTCCGGCCGCCATACTGGTGCACTACAGATGTGCACCAACATGGCGTTTCCGTACTGGGCTCTGTAAATTTCTGCGAAACATTTCGACAAATGTCTGCAGTTTGGGAAAACGCACAGACCTAAAACTCGGAGAAATGTCTTCTTTATTTATTTCCTATGAGATCACAATTTCTTGACTTTATCCACGGAATGGTTTTCGATTTAATTTTTTATTGGGTGACAGTGAAAACGATCTACATATTCACCCGTATAATTTTGGTAACAGTCTTAGCGAAATTTCGTAAACTTTGCCACTTTCTCAAAATTCGTCGTGTTCTCGCCACATTCTTCAACTTTGTACAGTCCCTCTAGCCATCTGATATCTAGTCATTCGTATAATTTTGACAACAGTCTACGAAATTTTGTCAAATTTGCCACTCTTGCCAAACTTGTCGTTTTATCCACGTTCGTCAACTTTGTGAGGCCCCTCTGGGCCTGTATTTTGCTCGTCCTTTCAGTGTATTAACCGAGTGGAACAGAAAGCAATATATATTTTTATCATTTTAAAGTCAACTAATGTCTATTCACTGGTATAATTTTGTCAACAGGCTTGACGAAATTTCGTCAAATTTGCCACTCTCGGCAAATTCCTCGTTTTCCCCTTATTGGTCAACTTTATGGGACCCTTCTAGCCTTCTGCCATTCTATTTTCTTGTACAATTTTGTCAACAATCTTGGGGTAATTTTGTCAAATTTACCATATTTGATAAAATTTTTCACTGTTTTCCAAACTTTGTCATATCTGTCAGTTTCGTCAACAAAAATTTCGTCAAACCTGCCGGTTCGTCACTACATGCATTTCTGAACGTATTTCTATCTTTTGACAGTTACGTGCGAGAAAGGGTTCAATCACTGCACTTTTCTTCAAGAAACATGCAGTTCCGCATTAAGAGAAAATATCGGAGCACGGAGTGGAGAGACAAGATTTGTGACAAACGTGGTAGTAATCACAGTGAAGCAGTTGATAAATTCTAGATTTTGTTGTCGTTATCATTAACAAACACAATTCTTACTTACCTACTCCGTCGACAACAAGAGCAGCAAAATACATCCTCTCAGATCTGCTATCACTTTTTTTCACGGTACATTTGTATATCCCAGAATCGCTGGGTTGTACCTTTTGAATTTCCAGAGCACCTTGACTCGTAATGCTTACTCCGCTTCTTCCCACTTCAGTTTTTCCCTCTTGGGTCATAACAGCAATCAAATTCCACGGGCGATGACACTGTTTTGATTTGCGAAGCGACCAATAAACGACGTCGAATGTGTTGTCCTCTTTAACAACTTCTTGTAATATGGGGCAGGGCATGGTTGCTTTTTCGTTGATTTTCATTTGCCATCGCACGTTCTTGGTGTTATTGAAGGCTAAAAATAAGGATAAGAAGCCAAATAGTTTAGGCGCATTCCTTTGGAGTGACGTATTCGGTCGCTAAACTGCGCATTGATCGCTACACGGTGTTTTCTAAAACCGGAGTCACCCAGACAATGAAAATCAGTCAGATGGCAGAACTGAAACAATCGATTCCAACATCTACGAATCCAGCCAATCAAATGTCCAGTACAAAACAATAAAATCTCAACTTGTTCGTGTTTGTTCGTGTTTGTTTTGTTTTATTATTTACTCCATTGATTATTTAACAAATAAAGAAGCCTAAGCCGTGTTTTACACTGTGATAAAACACGACGGGCATATGAGAACACGAGGGAAATGTACAAAACACTCGCCGCAGGCGAGTGTTTTCTGCATTTCTCGAGTGTTCTCAAACGTCCGGAGTGTTTTATCACAGTGTAATACACGGCTTAGACTTCTTCAT